CAAATAAAGAAGTATTTTAAATTCTTATATTTTAGAAATTTTAGTTTGTTAGATCCACTTTCATTTCAACCAATATATTAATTGCATTAGATCCACAAATTATAAGAGTATAATCTATTTTGGTTAGATGAACTAAGAATTTCAAAAATTCTATTATTCTCGTTTCTTATGATATTTTTTAAATGAGGTATTATCTTGTTTCAGCATATATTTCAGTGGAATAATTAAGAAAACTAATTTCGTGTTTTTTTATGGTTTTGATCAAACGAGTAATTGAATTAACAGTCTATGAAACAGCATCACTTTACGTTTGTTTTTCCATAAGTGATATATTTTCTAGTGAATTATAATTTTTGGAATTTGTTACGAATACATTTGATAGAAAATTTTAGCAATCCTATTCTTGATTATTTTTTTTTACAACAGTTCTACTATAGTATATTCAATATTTAAATATCAAAATCTTTTGATTAAACTAACACTTCATATAAATCAGCAGCAATTAAGAACTCTTATATAGATTTATGGACAAATTAAAAGTTAGCTCCATTTTATTACACAAGTGAACAGCTTCGTATATCTTTTCTATAAGATCCAAATTAATCATCATCATTAAAAAAATCATTGAGCCATTTTTCCTTTTCTTTTTCTTCTTTATACAATAATCCTTATTGTTAATATTATACTTAAGTCATTTAATTCATGCTCATAGCTTTCGCAAGGTTAGTTGAATATTGTTTTAGATCATGTAGAAAAAGATCAATATTAATAGATTTTCCTAATTTTCTCTACTTTTCTATTTATTTCTAATGATGTTAATTTATAAACTCATCATAAAAATCATAACTTGAAAGATTCAATTCTTTTAATGCATCAATAACTGCTTCAATAACAGCTTCTCTCTTTTTTTTCTTTTTGAATTGCAACTTTATCTAATAAATAATCTAATTCCAAATGTTCGAATACTTACAAGAGTTAAGCCTTTAATTCAGTATTTTCTTAAGAACACTACTAGGTTTGTTTTAGAATTGGGTTTTATTCTATTTTTTTCCAAAAATAAGACAGCAATTTCTAGAAAGATTAGTTTTTCTAAATTTTCTATATCAAACAATATAACTTTCTAAGAGTTTCATCTCCATTGTTTGAAGTCACAAGCTTGTTCAATTGTTATTGATACATTTCAATCAAATATTTACTTATGTACAACGCTTTGAGCTTCTACGAAAAAATATTTATACAATTTTATTTCAAATTATTTATCGCAGTTTCTTTAATGATCATTTCGGGCAACACTTAAACTACAATTTCCATCATATATGGAGTTACCACCAATTTGTTTAAATAGATTTACCTCATCATGTTGCTGTACTTTTCAACGCTCCACAGTTTTTATAAATTTATGCTCAGATTTCTTAAAGCATCATTACTTTTTAAAGATATAAACTCATCATTCTCTAAAAACGATTAAATATGGTCTGTTTATTTTTAATTCAATTAGATTTTCCCCTTTTTACCCTAATATATCTTTTTTTAAGAAATTATTTCAAATTTTCCCAACCATTTTGAAATTTTTTGATATCAATTGATTCGACTCAGCATTTATTACATTTCTCCTGCAATTCTATCGTTTTAAGTCTACCAATCTTTCTTCAAAATTTACATTTACAAACTTATTAAGTATAAGTTTTTTTTTAATAAATTTCTAAATCTTTAATCTTTTTCTAAGACCTATATTTCAATTAGGGCTTATTAACAAAATTACATAATTGAATGTGTGAAGCAATTCGATGAAACATAAATTATAATAAAAACTAGACCCTCTTTAATTTTCCATTCGTCGTTATTTTTATAATCTTTATACTTTTGATTCAAAGACTAAAATAATCCTAATTGTTGATTTGATTCTACATCATTTTTATCTTCTTCTTCTTCTTCCTCATTTTCTGAGAGGTATATTTCTTTAATTTATTGAATCAAATATTCTGAACCAAACTAAATTTTTGAGTTCACCCATTTAGACTAGATTGATTTTTATTTTATTTTTCCTTTAAATTATTGAGAAAATCGCAATTTTTTTTTATTATATGATTGTCATCTTTTTCATTTTTTCCTTTCTAAATATCGATTTCTATTCTATTATAGTAATCGATAAATGACTCTTTTTCCATTTATTATAAATTAACTGTTTTCCATTGCAATCATTCAAAAAATTTAATTTGGTTTTAGAAATGACTATGAAATTTCTTATATGTATTTTTTATATATTTATATTCTATTTCTGAATGAGATGAAGTTTATTAAATAACTTTATAGTTTCTTTAAGTATTAAACAAAATAACTGCTTTTCTTTTTTTATATTTGATGATAATAATTTCAGAATAGTGATGATGGTTTATAAATCTTTTCCATGTTCTTGATTACCATTAATCTGGATATTTTTTTGATCACTATAATCAATTTTTTTTTCTTGAATAAAATTTTTGTTAGTTACAAGAATTTAATCATTTTTATATTTATTAATATTGATCATTTGTTTGAAATTCTATTTATATATTTTTAACTCCTCTAACAATTCAAGAATTAGTGCTTTAAAAATTTCTAAATTTTAATCTTTGGAATTTTTTAATAGCTCAACAAACCATCTCAATATGATTGATTAATTATTCGAAATTTTCTATTTTATTACAGTTGTTATTTTTCTCAAAAACTCATAATTATTTCTGCATATTCTCATATTTTTCTATCTCAAAACTATTCTGATTTGTTAAATTGCTCATTTTTCACAGTTTTTATAGAATTGTCAATTGAAGCATGTTCTATTATTTCATTATACTTTCTGTTAGAGAGGAAGACAAGATTCTTCCCGAAATAATTCTCCAAATTCCTGATCAATTAATTCTAAATCTATTTTTTTTAAATCAATCAGTTATTCTTCTAAATTTAATATCAATGCTAGGTATTCTATTATTCCTTTTTATTTCATAACTTATTTTAATAGTCTTGTTCAGCAATTTCCATGCTTGTTCATTCAGCAATAATTTATATGTAGATATTTTCACAACTGCAAATTATTTTTTTTGGATAATTGTTAATTACATTAACTCGAAACTCATCCAAATCGATAACTTTTTATAACTATTAACATTCTTCTAATTAGGCTAGAAATATATTTTAAAAGGACTTCTTCAAAGCTGTTAGCTGTAATTGAAGCTTTAAATTATTCAATCTTAAGTTGTAAACAAATTAAAATGACAGCATATTAGAAATTTTTTACTAAATTTCTCTAAATTCTTAAACAGACCCTATTTCATACTATGAAATTAGTATTGTCTTAAAACTTAAAATGGATTCATTAAAATCTTTTTGAATTTCTTCATCCTTGTGATCTTACTCAAAATATAGATGATTCAATAAACTCTGGCAACATTCAATAAATTTATACTTTTTAAGTGACATAATTTCTAGCCTTGAGATTTATTTCTTAGAATCTTCAATAAGTCTTAACATGCTAATAAAATTTTGAGAATCTTTTGTGCGTTTTGCAAATATTCATATAAGTTGCAAATGATGTTTGTTAATTAAGAATCAACAGTGCTTTGTAATAGTCTTTTATTAACTTACTCATTTTTCCTAAATTATTTCTAAACTTTAATCGCCTCCCAAATTTTTCATTATTTTATTTTATTAAATTAATTAGTTTAGTTGGAATAATGAAAAAAAAGCATTTTCATTTTCTCCATAGTCAAAATTTTTTCCTTTTTTTGGGAATCTTTTCTAAACAAATCTAATTTACATTTTAAGTAGGAACGAATTGTATATGGTGTATTTTCATTTAATTCACCAATTAAATATTGTATAACTATAAGAAAGTCTTCCCATCCGTTGAAACTATCTTCTAACATTCATCTATCAAGTTCTCTCAGTTTACTATTTTAAAGTTAACTAAGTAAAACAACAGCTTAGTAAGTTGTATGGTTCATTTAAATAAGTAATCCTTTTTTCAATATAGATTAGATTAAGATAGTATTGGAAATAGAATATAAAATAAATGAAGTTTATCCAAAATTGATAAAAAATAGATGTGCTAAAATCTGGCTTTTATTGTGGAAACCAAGTACAACAATATCAATGAATATTCAAAATCTTATGTCAGCCTTTTTTAAAGACAACTCACAAACATTTAGTATGAAGTATTATAGAAAAATCAAGAAATTAAAATCTCCAACATTGTCATCAATTATATTTTCTTACCCTTCTAATTTAATCAATCATTGCAAATAAGTAAAGACATCGCTCCTGGCTATATAATTGCTTCAAAAAATCGAATGTTTTTTATACTACTAATTAAAGGTACTTCATTTTATNCATTTGAGTATTCTGCCTACCTTAACTCATATCAAATTCGTATAAGTCATTAGCAATAGATATGATTAAATGTTAACGATTATAAAATCTTACTATTATACCCACAACAACAATCATAAATTAAGTAAATCCTCCTAAATAACTTAGTAATTCATCAAGTCTTAAGAATTTTCTATTTATTCTATAAGAATATGGACTTCTTTAAAAATAAAATGCCGCATAATAATTAGGTGTTATTCTAGAAATTTCAAATTATTCTCTTTAATCTCCATAATCTCGAAAGGCAAAAGTTTCATTTTGTTTATCTGGATACATTAGAATTCCTTGATCGGTTGTAACCTTCTTTGTTCTGAAAAATATATCGGATTAAACAAACATTTTATCTGGAACAAAAGTATAGAATTAGTCTACAGCTAAATAAGGTTATAAATAATTTTCAGGTCTGTTTGGATTTAATAACTATTTAAATATTGATTATAATTACGAAATTTGTAGTATAAACTTAAAAACGATAGCTTCCTTATCTTTTTAATGTTGCCTAAATCTCATCTGAAGTTTTACAAGTTGGCTTCCAATTAAAATTACTAGATGAGGAATCCCTACAATTAGTGACAGACAACTTTAAAAAGTAGTTGTCTGTGCTTGACCATACACTTCCAACAGTTAAATTGAGACTATGAATAAAATTGAGGTTTGGACACAAGAAGTTTTATCAATTATTTTGTTGAAATTATTGTCTAAATTCCACTGTGTACTTTTCGAATAAAGGTAAAATGTTAAAGAGTGCAAGGCACGAGATCAATAAAATTTATTTATTTTTTTAATCTATATATTTAATTTGGTGGTGATATTAAGTTCCATTTGGAAACTATAGTAGTGACGCTACTCATCTGTGATAAATGAGAAAGTTAGAATTGTTTTTTAACATATCTAATAGCGATAAAAAGTTATTAAGGGATAAGAAAAGAAGCAAGGCTGAAGTTTTCTATGTTTTACCGATCAGATAAGCATTGAATTTAAGAATAAAAACAATGGACAATTGCAATCAAGATATTGGGGAAATATAAATACAATTTCATATTTCAGGAGATCATTTTTTTGTATAAATTAAGTTCTCTGAGTAATACATAATCTCTTGTAAAAGACTTAACTACTCAAAACTAATCTAAGAAAATAAATTAAACCACCCAATATCACTAGGATAGAGAGACCCCTCATTTTGAAATAATTATTAGTAAGAAGACTTTTATATCAAAAATTAATTTTTAATCTTCACTATGAATGTGAAAATTAAGTTAATAAATCGTTTAAATTCTGATACATTTATAAGCCACAAAAGGAAGAGTATTTGATTCAGTGGTTTATGAATTAGAAGAATCCTTTAACGCTTTGGAAAATGTTTAAATTACTTAATTATAGATATTTTTTGACTGGGAACTTATGAGCATAAATTAAAAAGAAAACTAATCAGAATACAAAATCATTTATAATAGTTTGAGATATTTTCCCTCAATAAAGAGAGGAGCAGATCTGAATTTAAAAGATTTTATCATGACAAGTATTAAGATTAGACTAGGAGACACTATGAGAAATGTGATGAAGGAAATCATTGTATATATGATGAACAATTATAAAGTAAAGATATATGAATTGGAAATTAAAAGAATTCATTGAATAAGATTTAGGATAATAAAATTTGAAAAAAATAATCAAATTCTATATATTTTCTAATGTGGAGTGGAAAATGAATTTAAGTCTAATTCAATGAAAGGAAAAAGAATCCAAGTAGAAATTCAACAAATTTATTAAAACCAGAAAAGGTTAAAAGAAGGAGGAAGATAAATATCTTAAGAAAAGAAAAAGAAGAATTAAAAGCAGGCTATTCAGAAGGATGATGGAGATATTAGGAAGACTATCAAAATAGACCTTGAAGAACAAGATAAAATTATGTGCAAAAAATATTGAAGAAAACAGGAGTTACTTTGAAGAAGTTTCCAAAAGATAAGAACCAAAAAGTTTTCGGAGAAGAACGATCCAAAAATAGAAAAAAAATAAAGCAATACTTAATATTCAAATGGGTAGTTTTAAGCTTCACAAAAATCACTTGGAGACAACTCTAATATGAACAAAGGGATCGATTATTATATTTGCAATCCGGAAAACAAGAAATGACACATGACTTCAATCAGATTAGTATCAGTGAATAAAAATGCATCTAAGGAAGCAAATGTGATAGATATGAAACCTATCATGATAAAGTCAGTATATGGAAGGGATTTGTAAAGAAAAACTAAGAGATATA